GTTCATAGGCCCTGACTCCCCTTAAAGGGCAACAACCCCCCAGCACAGCGATTAACGGGGATGCAGTTAATTTCCTTTGATCCCAGTGACCAGCCTCTGCCCCCGGCACTGACTCTGTGACTCTCTCCCCAGTGGACGTGACTCTGGATCCAGACACGGCAAATCCCTGGCTAGTCCTGTCTGAGGATCGGAAATGTGTGAGACGCGGACACACACGCCAGGATCTGCCCAATAATCCTGAGAGATTTGATAAATATCCCATTGTCCTGGGCACTGAGGGGTTCACGAGCGGGAGGCATTACTGGGAGGTGGAGGTGGGAGACAAGACTGAGTGGGAACTGGGGGTTTGTAGGGAATCTGTGAGCAGGAAGGGGTGGGTCACATACACACCTGGGATTGGATACTGGGCCATGTGGCTGAGGAAGGGGGAATACAAGGCGCTCACCTCCTCCTGGACTCCCCTCCCCGTGAGCATCAGGCCCAGCCGGGTGGGGATTTTCCTGGACTATGAGGCGGGCGAGGTCTCGTTTTACAATGTGACTGACAGGTCCCATCTCTTCACTTTCACTGACACCTTCACCGGGACGCTCCGCCCTTATTTCAGTGCTGGGGGTAAAAACATGGCTCCCCTGATAATCTGCCCGGTCCCAGCTCAGGCCGGAGGGAATCTCTGTCCCTGACAGTGACACCCATGGCACAGACTCTCCCTCCCAGCGCTGCTGCTCTTCCCGCTCCCCTCCCCCCAGTGGTGGGGGGCAGTTACTGCAGCTACTGGACTTTTTGTGCTGATCAGACGCTGCCAGTTTCCCTTTTCAACTGGAGGTTCCAGTTGAAAACCGGACACCTGGCAACCCCCAGCCCTCACCTTTCCCCGGCCCCGGCCCCAGGGGTAGCAGATGGAGGTGGATGGGGGTCATTCACTCCTGTCAGAATATTCTACCCCTCGGAAATCTTAATGTAAAATATGAAAGAAAAGAATTATTGTAATTTAGAAAATATTATTGTAACAAGGTGTAAATACAAGAATATTTTAATTTACATTTCAACAGTATTTCAAAAACAAGCATCTAAACATATTTTTAGAAATGGAATTATTTACATTTATTTTTGATTCTTCCCTCAAATCTATATTGAACTTTAACTTATCTAAATAATGTCATTTGTATTTCAACTGAGGAATTTCAAGAAATCCAAAATATTTATCTTAACAAAATAAACTATTAAATTGTCAGACTGGGTTGCTCAGTTACAATGTACAAGTGTCAAAAACATCACGACCTCACACATGTGCAGCTGCTCTCTGTCTCTCTCCCTCTCTTTATTGTCTTGACTGGTTCTCTCTGGAAGGCAGGGCACATGCACCCACCTCCTGCACTACATCTTTGAAAATTAATAGGTGAAAAAATGATAGAATTAAGTAAGCAATATATTTAAGTTAACTCACACAAGATTATATAATAGTCTTTGATCATCTGTCAGCATTAATTCATGTGATTTTTAACTTTCTAGCTACATATAATTGGTAATCAAGATATGACCCTTCCTTTCTTTTTCTCACATGAATTAACAAAACACTGTCCCCGACCTCAAATGCTATCTTCCTATATATAGAAATCTCTTTTACAATCTCAATTTTTTAGTTTATTTTTCTTTAGAAATATTATTTGCAAGCAATGTACTGTCAGTGTCCACTGTTGATTTCAATGTATTGCTGGGTTCTTCATGTTGTTGGTTATAAGGACACAACAAATGTAGTTTGTATTCCTTAACTGAATCATCACAAACTAACTTAATTGTATTAAAGACGCTGGCACTTAATGACACATAACATGAAATTTGGTGAAGCTTTATTGGGAAACCTTTCTTCTCGGCCATAAATCAGTCAAAAGGGTGATATTTTTGTTGTCATGTGAGGTTTAGGGTACAAAGAAAATAAAGTTGCTTCAGGAAATTCATCACAATTCTTCTGGGTTCTGTCCACCCCCTTCTGGAATGCTCTGTAAAATAGTGACTGATTGGTCTAATTCCTTGAAATTAGTGATTGAACCTAATTTCTTGAAGAGCTAGCTGAGCAGAGTATGAGAGGAGGCACATCACATGGCATTGCTGTGACTACTTTTTGTTTAAAATTTTTGTGGTGCGTTATGGACAATTTCAATGTAATAATTCAGTTTTGAAGATTTATTCACAATACACCATTCATGGAAGTGTGCCCTAAACTTACCTTGATTATTTGAAAATAAATACCCTAAAACAGGGGTTCTCAAACTGGGGGTTGGGACCCTTCGGGGGGTTGCGAGGTTATTACATGGGGGGTCATGAGCTGTCAGCCTCCACCCCAAACCCTCCTTTGCCTCCAGGATTTATAATGGTGTTAAATATATTTTAAAGTGTTTTTAATTTATAAGGGGGGGGTCTTACTCAGAGGCTTAATATGTGAAGGGAGTCACCAGTAAAAAAGTTTGAGAGCCACTGCCCTAAAATTATCTTTTGATGGATTCATTTGTGTTTTTATCCAGTCTGCAGGTGTCTAGGTAGCATGGACTGCTGAAGCTATGTGTTTTTCCTAGTTTTTAACCCAGGGACATTTTAATCTAGAAATAGATAATTTTTCCCTAAAATTTCCTTCAGAAACATCTGTGTTCCTTTCCCTATTTCTCACTGAATTATATGTAATTACTGTGGTTTCTTATCCAATCTTATTGTGTTAGTACATGGGAAAATATGTTGGCAAATAGGTTAATATAAAACATAGTTTTTACTATCTGACAAAACATAAAAATGTGTTGTCACTCACAATTTACAGCATGAAATGTCATGAAGAGATTGCAGGCAATGTTCATTTTTAAATGTCTAACTTTGAATGGGCTCCCACATCAGTTCCTGCAGCCCCTGGCTGGCATACCTCTGTGTGAATTAAGCAACAGGCAGTCTGCCAGGGAACCTCCACCAAGTGTCTTTATTAATTTTATGGTGTATCACAACATAGCAGCAATTACAAGAAGCCCCCTTCCTGCTCCCTGATTCAGACTTTCATACTGCTGCTTTCTTCTCAGCGCTGAGCTAATGACCTCATCAGGCTCCCTACAGGTGCAAGTGATCCCCTCTGCCCTTCCAAACCCAAACTGCTCAGTCCTTCCTACTCTAACTGCACCCGGTGCCCTGGGTGTTCTCAGTGACTAGGGTGCTGGCTTCCAAAGGGCTCAGTTTGTAGCTGCTAACAGCCCCCTGTGACACTGCCATGATTGTGTAAGTGACCAGGTAGGGAAAATAACACCAAATGTAAACTGTTACCTCATTATTCATTTCAGAACCTAGATCTGCCAGTATCTGCTCTGGACAGCCATGTTGATATATAATTGTACATGTCCTCTTTCCACCTCATGTGCTGTCATCGTTCTAAGTGGAAATTCTTCTACCTATTTTGAAAAATCATCTGTAGCTGTCAGTACATACTGGTATCGCTTCTGTGGGACTGGATAGAGCCCGATTCAATATGCTCCCAGCAATTCCCAGGGTTTAACAACCTATGTGCAAGAACACAGGCTAGAGTTATCATTTGGATCTTTCCTATGACATTTTTATTATAATCCCATATATAGTAAGCACAGTAAACATTATAATGTGGTTTCTATAACAGTTGATGTCTCCACACAGTCAGAATCTAACTTTTGATGTTTTTCATACATAAATAAATACAGGCCAAACTTCTGCAACTGAAAACTTGCATAAATACGCTGTCGCTGTGCCAGCACAATGGGCAATAGAAGTTATTGCTGCACTTTGTCATCAATTAGTCACATGTGCACTTGTTATAGCTGATTAGCGGCTTTATTGTGCAGCAATAATAAATACAGAGAGTGATAAACAATTAGCTTGGCTAATGTTTAAAAACACTTCAGATTTATTTAACATAGGGAAAGATGCAGAGTGTTTGATTTAACAGGGAGCCATAAACTCAAGTCCACTTCATTGCAGGGGTTGTAAAGTTAAGTCCAATCCAAGCAGGACATTTGCCTTGCATGATATTCTGTATGAACTCCTGCAAAGCATATGACAGAGGCACCAGGTTGACCAGAACCTTCTGTAACTCCCTGGGTTCTCTGCTGTCTTTCCAATGAAACCAGAGAACTTTATCCAGAGCACTCAAAAGTCTCCTTGGAGATCTAAGAGGGTCCCAAACCAAGCAGGGGAAACACAAACTGCCTGATGGAACCAGCACATGATAATTGAAAGGGACTGAAATGCCACAGCTTTGGACAGTTTCTTGTCCCTGAATAAGTCAAACTTATTTTAATCTACAGTCTGTGCACTAAGAATTTCTGATTTACACAGCAGGGCATAAATAGAACCCAGGTCTCCTGATTCTTAGTCCAGTGCCATAATCATTAGATCATTCTGATTCCCCTGGAACATGGTTTCTTTAAACCCTCCACCACGTCTTTGATGTCTCTGCTTCTCTCACCATATCCCTCCATGCCCCTAGTGCCATCACCTTTTCCACACCACCATCTTCTGTCTTCATGTATCATGTAGCCGTGTTAGTCTGAATCTGTAAAAAGCAACAGAGGGTCCTGTGACGGGTTGGATCACAGAAACCCCCTTGGGAGCTGCCACCAGATGTGCCAAGACTACCCCTGCTTCTGTTTCCCCTGCCAGCTCAGGACTCCAGCCCCCTGTCTTGCTGAGCCAGACACTCCCGTCTGGCTCCAGACA